GAGATTCAGCAACTGTCCCAATCCGAAACATTTTTTCTTTCAGGAAATGACGGCTGTGTCACCAGTTTCGACACACAGCTACCACTGGCGTTCGGAATCACGTCAGACGCAGCAGGGTGGTGACCAACGTAAGTTTCCATGGATTCTTCGTTTTTCAATTTTGTCTCAAACCTCATGGTGGAGCATCTAGCGGTATTAAGCAGCCAATTGAACGAAGTATGCAAAAGTATATTAAACGAGATGGATCTGAGGAGTTACATATAATGTTATAGCACAATAAGACAAAGACCGACAGGAGTCTTCTGGCTGGCGTGACCGCTGTCACCACAGTCACCAATTCTAAACCCAATCCAACCAAGATTTCTACTGTTGAGGTGGCCTAAAGGCACGGGTCAAATAAAATTAATCCTTAGGGGAACTCTTCCCTTGAGTGTGGCAGCAGGAGCCCTAAGGAGCAGTGGTACTGTAGCCACTTGAAAGCGTTTGACGAGGGAGTTACTAAAATTGCTCGACTGCTCAACCGTTGCTATCTCTATCAATCATAGCGTAAGTAGCGTCTCCGCTCTCTCGTACGCGACGCACTCTAACGCGCATTTTATTCTCTCCTCGTAGCGCTGTGTCTCTCCGTTGTACTGCTGTCGACCTTACAAGAAAAACGTTAATGTTCTGTGGTGCTTTTGCTTTTTTCCCGAGTAGCGGTTTATTGTTTGCTATTTAATTTTCGAACAAAATAACACCATTTCGGAAGGGTGAATATCGGTCGAGGAAATCCTCGACAGGGGGGTCGTATTTGTCAGGGTGGGTCATGGGGGTCGTACTCGTGGGGGTCAGTAACGTCAGTGGCATCGTGGTGCAGATAGGAGGGAGAGGGTGTAGCGCAGCAGAAAATAAGGATATGTGAAAACATGATATAAAATATTCTTTGCAGGTTCAGTCGCTCCGTCCCTCTACCTTCGAGAAGGAAGTATTTGAAAGTACTACAAAGAATGAAAGTGCATCTTGCAAGGAACAGGGTCACATGTGCACACGCGCTGCGAAGGCATTTCCTCTATCTACCGCCCGCTCCCTCGCCCTAATACCTCGTTGAGAATGACACTGTTGTTAGGGACGCTGTCGCAAAAACGGCAATAGTTCTGGAAAGACCTGGGCAAATGAAGCTGTTCCTTAGGTTACAGGAGTTACGAAATGTGTTTACTACAATACAGTTTCTGTCAACAGGTCATCATCATATGTGTAACACCTTTCAATAGATTCTACAACTTGAGTGGAGGTCGGATGCATGGCCTATACTGAGACGAGATCGGACGATGACGATTGCCCCTTTTCTTGTCGCTTACGTTGGGAGAATTTATTCTAGACACATTTCGAGCGTTGCCAACGAATTACACTTGCAATGGTGAAGAAGGGAGCGGCTTTTTAGGTGGCCGAGATCCGTCCTCGATAGATCCTCGACGCAAATATCTCCTCAACTAAATGTAGAAGAAAGCTAAACAGACTGTTAGAAAGCGCAAACCTTCCGCTTTCCAAAACTATCTTCCCTTTTTCAAGATCTTACGAAATTAGAGAGATATTGCCTTTTAAGTGGCAAAAACTCGCATGAAAATTTCAGCATCCTCGACGCTCCCTCGACAAATTTGAGAGACCCTATCTCTTCGAGTGTAAAGCTTTCAGATCAATTTCAATATTGCCCGGTAGTAGCAAATCCAGCTCTATCTAACCCTACCACATACTGCTCCAAAGGTTATGAAATGGGGGAATGGAACCTTTTCATCGAGAGTGTAGATTTCGACGGTTTCGAGCGGGGTTTCGGCAAATCTGACCCACGGATAAACCGCGCTGCAACTGAATGCTTTGCTGTACATTGATGGAACTCGCTTATTCACATCAAATCAAAGTTAGAGGGGTCGTATCAAGACCCGATCTGAGGGGGGGTCGTACTGAGGTGACCACGTCCTCGACACGATTTTCACCCTGCATCTGACAGCTTTTTCTTTATTTTTTATGCCGCTTTGACATATCGGCGGACTAAGGATAACGTATGTAGTTCGGATGATGCTGCTTCGGAATTTCACGGTAATCCTTCTTACTTGCTATGCTTCTGTACCCTGGAACAAGCATTAATTATGCGTAAGTACAAGATCAACGCTACTTTTTTGTTTTCAGAGGAGTTTAAAGAATCAAAACACTTCAAAGAGTAGCTTAAGTCGTATTTCACGATTACATAGGAGTATGCTTTGCGCTCGAAAAGATGACGACATTTGTGATCACTGGTTCACCAGTGGTGAAATGATGAAAAAGTCATTAAACATCCTTTTAATTCATTACGCGCCGACCGTATTGATGGGATTGGAGCTCCACCCTTACAGAAATTTCACTGATACCATCTTCTAGCCGCATTTTACCGTATCAGGATAACGGCCGACCACTGAGAGCAGAACGAAAACCCCATTCACACAGTCAGATCGCTACGTGATTTTGAAGGATCTTGGCAAATTTTTTGTCTTTTCTTCATTTCTGTTAGACTAATATCCACAGATGCGTTCATTTTCGAGCGTAGTTCTTATCGCGGAATGTGCCTTTGAGGTGGATGAAAACAGAGGAAGACGTTTCCTGTTAGAAGAGCTCTTCAATATAAGTGTGCAGTTGGTGCCTTCGATTTTTTGACAGCTTCGTGTTTACATATTGTCTACGCACAAGTATGGACTAGCGCTAAGAAAAGAGACGTCCATGAAAATCAGAAATGTAAATAGGGGAGCACTCTAACCCCTCCGAGTTGTCCATTGAAGAAAGGTTTCATATAATCTACTACCTAGAAAAACTTCATGTGCAGACTCTGAATCCGGTTTTTGAAATCTTTCTTTTGGCCTTCTGTCTAAAAAAAAACTAGGAATTCCGGTAATATCTCGTCCAAATAGAGCGCGAACTCTCCCGCCTAGGCCCTTTAACCATGCGTTCCGGTTTCCATTCAGACCACTCCGCGTTCTGCATGCAGCCAAGTAGTTCAGATTCTGTTCTGTTTTTCTGCACACAATTTGTATTACCAGCCAGGTTTGTGTAGCCGCTACAAGATGTTAATAACTTTTCTTTGGCTAACCTCTTCCTTGTCAGAGCAAGGAAGCCAAAGGTTTCTCCGGGCTCTGACCAAGGGGTCAATTGCAGCTCTGCAAGCCCGTTTGAGAAACTTCGTGCCATGCCACAATTTACCGACAGTCGAAAATGGACGTGGTTCTGAACTGTGTCATTTTTCATCCAGACAACTTCATGAGATACAGCACATGATGAAGCTGTTCAAAGACTATCATAAGTGGATTGTTCTTCTATCTGATGAACTAAGGTTGTGTCAAGTTTT